ATATCTAAATACTTCTTCCTCTTTTGCCTATTGGGCCGTGCACTTGGGAACTTTTTAGTCCCTTCTTTCATTTTTGGCCAAGACTTTGAAATTTATTTTTGCACCGTAGTTAACAGGAATCAACAGTAACTAAAATACTAAAAAATAAGCAAGCAGCTGCTTAGTCCTTTGCCTTCCTTGCAGCACACCCCTCTTTATTCCTCTTTCCCAGCAGTGCTAGTTCTGAGCACAACTGACTTGTACCCAATGGATGTTCTTAATCAGTATTAGTGTATTAGTGTTATTTAGAGTTGTCAGATTTAGCAAATAAAAACATAGGATGCCTAGTTACATTTGAATTTCAGATAAACAACACAACAACATTAAAAAAAAATCCAGTGTGTCCATATAATAATATGTGGATATACTTGAACTAAAAATTATTTATGTAAAATTCAGAGTTATCTGGTAATCTAAGTTATTTCTACTTATTGTATACTAGAGGCACGGTGCATAAAATTGGTGCATAGATGGGTTCCCTAGTCCTGGCTGGCAATCAGGACCTATTGGGGCTGTCTCACCCAGTCTCCATTGGGGCCGGGCCAACCAGGGCCTGCCAGCTGCCAGCTGCTGACTGGGGCCTGCTGGTCAGGGCATGCTGGATGGGGGATGGGGAGGATGGGAGGTTTAGCAGCTAGGGGAATGGACCAGGGGAGGTTGGCCAGCCATGGGAGGTTGGCTGTGGGAGTGCACTGACCACCTTGGGGCAACTCTTGCATCAAGCATCTGTCCTCTGGTGGTCAGTGCACATGATAGCAACTGGTTGACTTTTTTCTGGTTGTTCGGTCGTAACGGTCGCTTAGGCTTTTATATATATAGATTAGGTGCCAGGCATTCAGAAATTAGTAAGGAAGTTCTTAGGGGGCTCAAAATCTAGTTGGGAGAGATAAGAGAAGGGATAGGAGAAATAGGAATACCAGAGAAGGAAACTATTATAATCATCTAGATATTTGGTGATGGGGTTCTGACCCAGACAGTGGGAATGAAGGATTGTTATATTTCCCTGTTAGTGCTGAGCAAGGCCATCAGCTTATACATGAAATAGAGGCCTGATGCATGAAATTCATACAAGGGGTTGGCCATGGTGGCCTCCTCTGCCTTTGCCTCTGCCATGGTAGCTTCTTCCTGAAGGTCGTCTGGAAGGACCTCTGGTCTAATTATGCTTTTATTGTTATAGATTATAGATGTCCTCAGGTAGGTAGTTTTCATGGGTGCCATTGAGGGTCACTGGCAGGCCAAGACTTAGGAAGAAGATTATGAGAGGTGAGAAAATGAAAGAATAATAAAAATAATAAAAAGAAATGGGGAGGCAGAAGGTTCTACTTGAGGAAAAAGAAATATATAAAGAAGTAAGGTTCATACATGGTCTTCTTGTGTGGGGATAGAGGCGGTATGACAGAGAAAGACCCTGAAAACCAACCATCTGTGCCTATTGGGGCAATGTGTTGCCTTGAAAAACTTATAAACTCTTTCAATCTCACTTCTTATTTATAAGAAGAAAGTGCTAGATAAAGAAGTTTCTAATATCTGATTCTGAAAGCTACTTTGTGGAGCCTCTAATTCTAGATTTTCTATTTATTTTAAGATCTGCTCCTCCCATTTCCCAGCCTTGTTTTCTGTCCTTATTGCCACTTATTGGCGGTCAGGCCAGGGCCTTTAAGCTGTTAGTTTGATTTCAGCATTCAATGTTTATTATATCTTTAGTATGAAAACGAATTAGACTACCTCAAAGACACTTTTTTCCTTCTCTTGTCCCTTCCCTTCCCTCCCTAACCCTAACCCTAACCCTAACCCTAACCCTAACCCTAACTCTAACCCTAACCCTAACCTTAACCCTAACCCATCCTTTCTCCTCCCCTCCTCTTTAAAATTCAGTATCTTGCATAAGATGCACAGCTCACTAAACCATGTTATTTATTTTATTTTTATTTTATTTATTTATTTTATTGATTTCAGAGGAAAGGAGAGAGGGGTAGAAACATCAATGATGAGAGAGAATCATGGATTGGCTGCCTCCTGCACACCCCCTGCTGGGGCTGGAGCCTACAACCTGAGTATGTGGCCTGACTAGGAATCAAGCCATGATCTCCTGGTTTATGGGTTGATGCTCAACCACTGAACCACACTGGCCAGGGCACACTTTTATTTTGTGAATATTTATTGGATGCTTTGTGTATATGCTAGGAAGACAAATGTGAATATGACATTGAATATTCCTGGTTAGTAGGGAGAGAAAAACAAATATGTAAACAAATAATTACTATAGCATATGGTGGGCACTGTCAGAGAGTTTATGTGTCCAGGAATACAGGGGAACAGAAGTTCCTATCTCTTTATCCAGATTTTTACTATATAGAAGCCTGTTTAAAAAATTTTTTTTTTTTTTACTTTTATGGTTTACTTTCATATCTCAGGAGAGGAAGAAAACTTGTTACAAATGTAGTACACATAAATGATTTAATTAGAATGAAAACTCAATTCAGTTTTTGAAATATGTGTATAGTTTAATGATTTGAAAGCAAATTATTAAAAAACCTTTGTCCTTGTGATTGCAGCATTGAAGAGAAGTCAAAAGTTGATGGTCATGAAAAATCACTAGTTTCTTTGTATATTTAATTTCTAATAATCACTGGAAGGGACAAAAGTGAAACAGTAGCACTATGCATGCTATCATTAGCCATAACAAAAACATTTTAATATACTCTTTTTCAGTCATCTAAACTAAATTCCAGCAAAGGATGTGGTCTACCTACTCTTCTGGAATGCAGTGGTGGAGCTCAACAATTTGGGTTTGGTTGTAACTGCAACCTGAGATTCTTAAAAAAATTTCTTTATTGATTAAGGTGTACTTATTCCCCTATTACCTCCCCCCTATTCATGTCCTCACCCCCCTGTTGTCTGTGTCCATTGGTTAGACTTATATGTATGCATACAAGTCCTTTGACAACCTGAGATCTTAACAACACTTGCTTTATCAGTGATAAATTGGGGATAATAACAATGTGCAATTTTTAAGGTTACCAAACCAATAGCAACTGCTTTATGGTCATCTTAATTTCATTACAGCATTTGCTGGTATTGATTTATTTCTTAGGACATTCTTTCTTAGCTCCCGAGACCCCCAAACAATTTCTTTTCTTCAACCTCCTACTCCTTTCATTTGCCTTTCTTGACTGTTCTTTTTCTATCTGATTTCTAAATGTTGGGTGCCTGGGGACTCTTTCCCTTATCCACTCTATTCTAAGGTGTCCCATTAGTCCCGTGGTTGTAAATGTCAGGTATATGCTGATGAGTTCTTTTGTCTCCAGTCCGGACCTAGTTAGCTCTGGATTTATGTGATTGTTTCCAAGATATTGCTTGTTCCTATTACACATTCCTAACTGGATCTCTGGGTCTTCCCATCAAAACAAGCAAAGAAAGACACCCTTTTTCTTTCCGACCTCTCTCTATCTTGGGTAAATGGCGTTAAATCTATGACTCATTCTTGATTCTTTTCTTTCCTCCACCCCATATATCCAGGTCAGCAGTATGTATATTGAATCAATTTATTTCTGTCTGTCTTCTCTGTCACCATCCTAGTCCAAACCATCATCATCTCTTACTATGTCCACAGAATCTATAACTTGCTTCCTTCCTGTCTGTTCTATACATAGCTACCAGAGTCATTTTTCTATAAAGCAAAAATCAAATCATGTCATATCTCTGATTAAAATCCTCTGGTTGCTTCCTCTGGCACTTAAAATAAAATCAAATCTCCTTTGCATGGCTTACACACCTGGGCTCAGTTTCTATAGCTAGGAAATAGGGAATCTGACTTTCACTAGAATGAAAGCTCCATGAGGCACAGATTTTTATCTGCATTGCTCACTGTTATTGTCCTAGTGCCTGGGACAGTGTGCACACACACAGTGAGCGCTTAACTACTTGTTGAATGAATAAACACATTTAGATGATATGGCCCCCCCAAAGCCTTTTTTCTTTCTTCTTTCAGATCAGCATATTAAAGATTAGTATTTTCTGCACTGTATAGAAAGCCCAAAGGAGGTTTCTAGTGCAGTATCTCCTTGCTGTTCCTTCATTGCTTTCAACTCATATAACTTGCTCTCTCCCCCATTTCATTCTTCTGTTTTTTCCTCAGATCTGAGGATATGTTTAGAGATAATTAGGAGATGATAGGTAAATAAGTAGGTCAATAAACAGAATAGAAATTGAAAAGGAACTCTGGGAATAGTAGCAACAACATTTAAAAATAAGCACTTTATGTATTATAGAAATCTTGGAATATATACAAAAACAATAGAATAGTAGAATGAATCTTCATCTTGTCATCACCCAGTTAAAATAGTTACCAACTCATGGACATTCTTTGAGCAACTAGCATTTAATTTGGAAATTGCCAGTGCCTGATCTATAGAGGTTTGTATCTTATCCTGGACTTATTATTATTTTATTAACCAACTGAGAACAGATTAGGTCTGATTTTAAGCATGTTAGAAGAGTTATGACCTATCTTCTCTGATGTTTTTTTTGGTGGTTGCCTGAGTTTCTCCATTAGTTCAACTGTAAATTTGTAAATTGTGAATAAGCCTGAGAAGGGAAATGCATGAAGCCCATTAGCAGTTATTTATATCTTAGTGTAAATTGGTTAATTAGAAGCCTGTTGACTGGTAAGTAACCAAAAGCAGGTTTTGATGGAAGGTATACAGTCGCAGGGACCTGCGGTGGGAAAGACACATAAGGACAGGGAATACTGCTCATGGGGGTAGAAGGTGCTACTTTGCAGCTTCCAGGCTTTGCCTAGAGGCAGGCCTGACCTCGAAGCCTATAGAAAGAGGCCCTCATTCCAGTTTGGTGATATCCTGTCATCTATCATCTGTGTTCCCTTTGGCTGGCCATAAAGATCTATGTAGGGCTGTCTGGGAGGTGCTTCCAAGCTAACTCTGCTGCTTGTTTATTTTTAGGTATCTTGCAATATATTCAGAACTCTCCCTCCTAGTGACAGCAATGAATTTGATCCAGAAGAAGATGAACCCACGCTTGAGGCATCATGGCCACACTTACAGGTATTTTGAACTACCATTTGTTATAAAAGAAAGATTCATTAACTTACTGGCTGATTAGCATAGGCATTTCGTGAGGGCCTTTATTCACTTAAATCAAATTAGGGAACATAATTGGAAAGCCAGAGAATGCCTTTTATGTTTCTTATTTTTGATAATTAGGATGCAAAAGAATAAAATAATAAGTTTCAGTGTAATGCTTTAGTGTGGGCCCTCCCAACAGGCAGTTCTTGCTCTTTTTATTAGAGTTTCTGTGTGAACTGCCTGCTGGAAGCTCAAGCAAGAACAGAACTGTCTTCACATTAATATTAGTTAGATGTGATTAGGTCACAGAGTACACATCTCATTTTCAGCAGTGGGTAGCCTGGGGACTTGTATGCCTGTCTTCATGATAACCACAAATGTGTTTCTTTAGCCTGCAAGGGCAAAATCAAATTGGAATAGCTATTTCAAAGTGTTGGAAGGAGGAGCAACAGCTGAAGTAACACTTGTGTGATGGCCAGTTTTCCAATCACACTCATATACTAGGACAGATCAGGGCCATCCTTTCCCAGTTCTAGGCCCATCTGTGTTGTATTTATTTACTCATGCCAGTCATTTTCCATCCTCCTCTTCGGGCTGTCTTCTGTAGAACAACATTTCTCAAAAGAATAGAACAAGGAAATTTAATGTAGTGAACCCCAAAGTCATCTTCACTGAGTCAGACTGTTTTCAGAGTCTAGTCCTCAGAGAACTAGCAAGGAGGGGTAAGGCTGGAAAAGGAAGGATATAACTTTGTACATTTTCACCTTGAGGCAGAAGCCACTGCATCTTTGTGGCTGTGTGTGTGGTTACTGGTTGACTTTCTGAAGCACAAAATCTATCTGTATATATAAAAGGCTAATATGCCAAGTGTCCCTCTGCCCATCTGACTGGTTACTATGACACGCACTGACCACCAGAGGGAAGACACTCAATGCAGAAGCCATGACACACACTGGCCATTTACAGAGAAATGGCAACATGGATCTGGCACCAACAAAGCAACACTTGGCTTCCCCAAAGTGGGACACAGGCCCCGCCACCACCTTGGAATGACACCCCACCAAATTGCCACTGATGCTGCCATGGCACAAAATGGGGCCCACAGCCCAGCCCAGTCCAGAAACAGTTGCTATGGCGCCCAGGTAATGAAGTCACGTAGCAATGTCCAACTTCTTCTCTTGTAGCCTCCTTGCAGTTTCTTCAGCCCAGGAACATGATTTGCTTTATAGCCAGGTGCAAACATTTCACACTTTAACCAAATGTATAGGAAGTGTTTTCTCATACCTCATCTCATTTGATCCTCACAGAAGTTCTGGAGTAGGTGGATAGGAGACTCAGTGGAATCCTATTTTCTTTTCATTAGCCAGAAAACAGAGATTTAGAAAGTTTAGAAACTTGACCCAAGTGAAAAGAAGTAAGAAATGGTGGACCTTGAAAATGATTTCAGTTTTTCTCACTGCGCAGAATATAGTCAAACACTGCTGCAGTTAAATATTTTACTCTTTGTTCTTCCTGTGTGATCTACGATAATAATGTGCTTTGTGTTGATATTTACTACTTTGTTGTTGACAATTACCTGAAAGAGAAGTTGGAGTGCTTCACTGGGCTAGAAAAAGTTTAGCTACATCAGAAAGCAAGTCTAATTAAACAACTTTATTCTATATACATAAAAGGCTAACTTGACTCGCATATGCATGACACATATAAAGCTCTCACTGATGCCAATTGCACGCATGTTTATATCTGTCATTGTTTGATTGTGAATTTGGTTGACACTTCTATTATAGAGAAAGGGCAAGTAGCGATATTAAAATATTCCTTCTAATTAATTTCCTTTCAATGTGCATGAATTTGTGCACCAGGCCACTAGTTTTGACATAAATTTGCAGCATTCCCTGTCTTGCTTTGACAACTCAAAGTTGCTACAGATATACATGTATGTTATTTCCTAGTTATGTAGAGAATTTTCAGGGGCTCTGCTCTCATCTTTTACCTGGGCATATTATACCTATGTATTAATCCTACTAGTGCCAAGATTGAGTAAATTAAAATGCTATTGCAGATTTACTATCTTAGATGCCTGGTGTTTTTTTTTTTTTTTTTTTTTTTTTTTTTTTTTTTTTTTTTTTTAAGGTGCTAGACATGTTGTATACATTCTAAGAGATTTGCAAAACTATTTGTGCCTTTCATGTGACAAAAATCCAAAAACAGAATTACTCTTTTGAATGTGTGGACGCCTTGTCATGTCTTATTCTTAATGCTTGGCAGCAGTTTGTAGAAGTGCACTGTAGTCTGAAAAAATTTAAAAAAGAAAACAAACAGAAAAAGGTAATCTCCTCTGGAAAGTTCCACATTTTATGGTAGAAGATACAGGAAAAGAGGTATCTTTAAAGATTCAACTTGTCTCTCTCACATAGATATTTCTCTCTCTGTCTCCCTCCCTTGCACTCTCTCTAAAAAATTAGTGGAAAAATAACCTTGGGTGAGGATTAACAAAACCAGCCAACCAACCAACCAACCAACAGAAAGACTATGATTTTACAGAATTTCCATTTGCAGTTAAGGGATTGTTTTTAATGCTTTTCACCTGAGACTGAAAAACAGGAATGCTGAAGTCTTTTTATTCATGTTCCTTAGGGAATTCTTTTATGTGACCTTGAAAAGCAATTGATCCTTCCCAAGTCCTCAATCTTTTCCTTTAGAAAGTCAAGGGAGATTTTTGATTCTGAGGTAAAATCTGTCTCCTAAGTCCAGAGAACATTTATAGTTATTAATAAACTAGAGGCCCGATGCATGAAATTCGTGCAAGAGTAGGTCTTCCTTCCCTGATTTCTGGCACCGGCTTTTCTCTGGCACCTGGGACTCTGGCTTCCCTCACAGCCCCAGTTTCGTCTAGAAGGTCGTCCCGAAGGTCTTGTGGAAGGTTGCCCGGAAGGATGCCCAGTTTAATTAGCATGTTACACTTTTATTATATAGGATGTGTCTGAAGTGTTTTCACCATGCTTAAAGGGACTGAGGGGAGAGGGTACTTTGCTAATTCCGGTGGAAAGCCATGCAGTTGGGTCTGGAAGACAAGAATCTCTCCACTCTGTGGGAGTCAAGAGAAAGATGAAACCCCTTGAATGGGTTACTTGAAAAAGTCTTTCATTCTATTTATAAAACTATGATTTCAAAGATTAGTGTATTGAAAAAAGAACGGTTCTAGGAGGTGTTGGGACTCAGGTGTTACTACGACTAGGAGGACGAGTACAGCTGGAAATCTTCAGGTCATTGGAAAAGGAGTTTTTCTGAATTCAGAGAGCTTCGAAGACAAAAACATCTATAATAATAAAAGTGTAATATGCTAATTAGACCTGATGTCCTTCTGGATGAAGCTGAGGCTTCGAGGGAAGCCTGGGTCCTGAAAGAAGCTTGGATCCTGGGTGCCAGAGGGAAGCTGGAGCCAGCAGCTAGGGGAAGGAAAGCCTACTCTTGCACAAATTTTGTGCAATTGGGCCTCTAGTAGTTTTATAAAAAATAAAATTCTAATGTGAATCTAGTGTTAAATTAGTGTCTGAAGTTAGAAGGTTACTACATGATACATTTGGGCTACTGGTATCTGCATGCCCTTAGTGGGGGACCGGAAACCTGATTTTCAGTGATCTAAACAAGGCCATCAAAGCTAGTTTTATAATAATACTCCATTACTTGCTCTTTTCTCTGTGTTGCCATTTGCACTGATAGTTGTAGAACGATGGTGGTTGAAATTGTTGCCACAGCACCAATCAAGGCATTTGTGTCAAACTGGCTGGAAGTCGTCTTCACTGCCACATATTTGCAATTAAAAAAAAAAAAAAAAAAAAAAAGCAGTTTCGACTAAGAATATCCTTGAAATGAATATTATAATGATGACCCTTGTTCAATAAGAAACTGGTTATATGAAATCTCTTCTGCTTAATAAGGAATTTAAAAAAAATTAAGTGGAGCCCTAGCCGGTTTGTCTTAATAGAGTATTGGCCTGCAGATCTAAGGGTCCCATGTTCGTCAAAGGCAAGTACCTTGGTTGCATGCTCCTCCCCATTCCTGTCCCTCAGGGTGTGGGTCCTCAGGGTGCTTTCAGGAGGCAACCAATCAATGTTTCTCTCACATCGATATATCTCTCTGTCTTTCCTTCTCTCTTCCTCTCTTTCTAAAAATCAATGGAAAAATATTCTCGGGTGAGGATTAAAAAATAACCAGTGGAGCCTGGCAAGTATGGATTGACCCATGAACCAGGAGGTCACAGTGTGATTCCCAGTCAGACTCATGCCTAGATTGTGGGTTTGATCCCCAGTAGGAGCGTGCAAGAGGCAGCCAGTAGATGATTTATTCTCATCATTGATGTTTCTAGCTGTCTCTTCCTCTCCCTTCCTCTCTGAAATCAATAGAAATATACTAAAAATAAAAAATAAAAAAATAAATTCTTATTTAGAAAATGACATGTGACATATTCGTCCCCTCCCCCCAAAAAAAATGTCCTTGAAGAAGCAACAAAATTATTAATTTTATTACATCTTGACCTTTGAATACACATGTAACAAAAATATTCTTCATGAAGAAATGGAAAGCATGCACAAAGCACATCTGCTGCTTACCGAAGTGCGAGGGGGTCTTGTGCAGACCCTTGAAGCACTTGTGTGATTGCTTTGAGTTGCGAGCCATGCTGTTTTTCATGAAATGTTGTTTTTTACATGAAGGAATGCCTAACAGTCTAGGATTATTGCAGTTTGGGCATTTGGTGGATATTTTTTCTAAAATGGACAAAGAAAACAATTGTTGCCACTAATGCAGAGCATTCAAACAAAATTTAGGATTAAAATTTGAGAGACTTGTATCTGTCACCTTGAACTTTACAGGTTCCAAAAGCTTAGATTTTTGATAAAATTGGAGATATTAAGGAATGTGACTAGTGAAATGTGTCAACATTTGAAGATTCACATAACACAGTGGACCAGTGTTTTCCAGTTGGCCAGTAAATGATATTAGGAAGCCACACATGGATAAAGATCTATTCAGAGATCTGCAAAACAGATTATTGGAATTTAATGTAATAGAGTATGAAGCATTCACTGATAAGGTTTCACATTCTGCATTGTAACTCATCTTTAAGAAACGACTGTTTGTCGAGTTGTAGTGTGGTTTCAAAGAAAAATATCCCAATTATGTGAAAAGACTGAAAATATGATATGGGCTAGATCTGCATGAAGCTTGATTTTCTTTATCTACTTGAATCCAAACAGATTGAATACTGAAGCAGATAAGACAACTATAGTTGTTTTCTAACATGCCTTTAAAGAGACTTGCAAAAGTAAAAAGCAGTGCTGCCTCTCTTCTCAGTGATATTTTGGAAAATAAAGTTACTTTTACAAAATATATGATTTATGTTAACATGTAATATATTTTATTTGTTTTAAAATGAAATAAGAAATACATACTTAAAATGTTTCTGTTTTTATTTCTAATTATACTATAATCTAAATATTCTATATTACATATAAACAAAAGTTTTTTGGGGTCCTTCATCATTTTTAACTGTAAAGTGAAACTAAAAAGCTTGAGTGTGCTGTTTTAGGCAACAGTGACAGTGGTGATATTAGTTATTCCTATGAAGAGAAATTAACTTGCATAGGGCTACACAAATAGTGATGAACAGAGCTGGGCTTACAACCCAATGTCTGTCTGTCTCTTAAAAATTCTTATTTTAATATACTGCTGTGTACTATACTAGGATCTTATGTATACTTTAGCATAGATTTATTATGCAAAGAGCATAAACAGTGATCTACTGTTTATCAGAACAGTTATTAAGGTTGACTCTTCAGATGAGAATGTTCTTACTCTTTGCAGATGAGAATATTCTGCCCTCCTATGTTGCTTAGAGGAGTGGAAATTGAAAGGAAATATTTCAGTGATTATTGAAAATTCTGGAATGTTTTAATATCTAGTAGTGGATTTTAACAATTCCACTTCTAGAAGTATTTCTTTATAAAATAATTTAGCAAGTGCACACTGATGTATGTTATATGATGTTCATTGTGGCATAATTTGATAGAGAAGTAATTCAAAATTACTTAAATGTCCAATCATAAGAGATTTCGTATAATGGACAACTTGTATTACTGAGAAAACTGGCTTAGGTATTGCTAACACAAATTGTTCATAATATATTATTAAGGGAGTAAAATAGCTTATGAAATGATATAAAATATATTTATAATACATTGGTGTATTGTAGAACTATAGAGAAAAATTGTGAGGTTGATATATTGAAATCTTAAGAGTGGTTATCTCTGAATGACAAAATTATGGGGGATTTTTATTTGCTTTATTTGGCTGTATTTCCTAATTTTTAATTTAAAATGTTAAAAAACCTAACAGCAACTGTGAGTCACAATGAAAAGTTAGCTAGTTTAACTAATCCATTTATATTAAAACCCAATTTTCTAAGCCCAGTCATGTTTTCTCTTATAGCTTTTTTAAGAAGTTAAAGTATAGCTGATGTATAATGTTATATTAGTTTCAGATGTATATCATAGCGAATCAACATTTAAGACCTGTCAGTTTTAGTGTTGCAGGCTTTACATGGTTTTGATACTATTCTTAGTGTATTATAATTCGAATTTAATTGTGTTGTTGCAGCTTGTATATGAATTTTTCATACGATTTTTGGAAAGCCAAGAATTCCAACCCAGCATTGCCAAAAAATACATAGATCAGAAATTTGTATTACAGGTAAGCAAATTCTTGTGATTGCATGTATTTGTTATTCATTTGATAATATTTTACCTCTTTTTTTTTTAAATGTTTTTAAAATCTAGTAATGGCAGTTATATCACTTTGCAAACATGTATATATGGGTGGGGCAAAAGTAGATCAGTTGTTCATGTGAAAAATAATAAATAATAATATAAGAATACATAATAATACAAGAATAAACTGTTTTGCATACTCACACCTGTAAACCTACTTTTGCCCTACCCTGTCTACATAAGTTAGTTTCCATTAATACCCATTGAAAGTAATAATTGTCTCTTCAATTTATTGTGCTAGAAATTAATTACATTTTAATAGAAAGGAATGCTAATGCCTAAATCCTTTCAGTTTTCTTTCCTAAAATTTAGTTATAAAGGAATTTTATTTTTGTAACCCTAGTTTGCTTGAAAACTACTATTTGCATAAGGAGTCTTAAGGAACTATTGCACAGATCTGATAAAACTGAGTAGGCATGATTCATAATCTTTAATAAACAATCAAAGTCAGAGTATTGGTGAGTTTTCACAGCTAGGAAATGGCACAGATCAACACTTTAAAATTTCTTTGAAGGCATTAACTCCCACCTATCTGTTTGGAACTTATCAGAGTATGTATTTTTCCTGATCTGTCATTTTACATTTTATATCACAGATAACATCTTCCTTTTTACCTGGGACTTGGGTACTTTCGTGGCACTGAATATGTAGTCAACATACTCATTTGACTCCTTTCTCTAGTTGACATTCATCTATAAAAGTGGGTAATTTAGCCAGCTGGTGTATGGTTCCTTTCTAAGTGATACATGGACACCTCATGTAGAAAAGAACAAATATCTACTTCCAAGGGAGCTAAGTGTCCCACCAGTGAGAACTTCAAGTTTAAACCACTCATTTGACAGGAAATTGATCTTCTCTATGTCTTACCTGGAAAAAATTTGATAATTTTCAGGATGGCCTCATTCTCCCTAATTAAATGAATACATTTAGAATTCTGGATTTATTAGGTTGAATCATAGCTGATATTTTGACTGTTTTTGACATTCAAAACACAGCAGTTTCTTGTGGTTCAGTCTAGTAGAATGCCAGAAGCAGGCTAGTTCCAAGGAACCGAGGGTCATGGAGGTTCCTGAACATCCCCAGTTATGTGGCTGAGTGGAATTAAACTCGAATTCAACTGTCAGCTAAGAGATGGAAAGGAGTGGCTGTGCCTTACCTGATTCATTAGCACCTGTACCCCTCTTTCCCTCTTGCTATGTGGGCAAATCATTGAACTATACTGCACATTTAGCATGCATTGATATCACACTGGGGAATCATGTCTCACACCTTAACATGGAAGCTTTGGAAAATTGAGGTTTGACATGTACTTAGAGGCAGGTAAGTAGGTGGGTAGACTGACCCAAATTCTTATACCAAGAGGGCAAAATGCATGTCAGATAAAATGAACACAAGACATAACAAGTCTCTGTTTGTATTGGGAAGCCCTTGCATTTATATCACACTGTATAGTCTCAGAGCACCTTTACCTGCGTTGTCTAATTTGATTTGCACAACAGTCTAGAATAGACATGGCTAAGTTTTATGCCCATTTTATAGATGAATGAACTGAGGTCTAGAAAGATCAAGTTTTCTCAACATATCTTCTGTTCTGTTTTTCTGCCTATTGTTCCATGATGGCTCCTTGTGATTCCGAACCTCACAGAAACTTGGAATGACTTCAAGGCAGGAGTATCCCTTGCTTCTCTACGCTAATGAAATAACTAGGTTCTCTTAATAAATTAAACTGCCTTAGAGGATCAGATAATGATTCCATAGGAAAGCCTCTGTTTAGTTAACATGGAAACAATAAATTCTACAATTGTACTACGAAGCTAGTGCTTTCTTTTTTGTCTTAAATTTTTAAAAATTGATTTCAGAACAGAAGGGAGAGAAACATCAATGTTGAGAGAGAATCATCTATCGGCTGCCTCCTGCATTGCCCCTTGCTGGGGATTGATCTCAAAACTCAGTCATGTGGCCTGAAAGGGAATCAAACCATGACCTTCTGATTCATGGGTCAACACTCAACCACTGGGCCACACAGGCTGGGCGCTAGTGCTTTCTTTACTTGAAAAGCATGCCGGCCCAGCTCAGTGTGCTCTCCATGGTCAATGGCTACTGACAGTAATGAAGCTCAGTAAGATGAGACTAGCAGAGAAATACAGACTGGGAAAGGATGTTTTGTGTTATCTGTTCTAGTTCTTTGAAACATTGATCAGGGGTAGACCTCAGTTTACCTCTTTTCAGTGAGGAGAGGCCACATACACAGGCAGCCTGCCCCATTTTTTGATGGAGAAATTTTTTTATGTTGAACCTTCTAATTTAGCTTTATGCATATTGTTGTAAAGCGATGGTTTCCCTTGTTTTCTCATTTATTTTGTGTGTGTGTGTGTGTGTGTGTGTGTGTGTGTGTGTGTTTTAATCTAGGTGTAGGATCTGACATATATTCCTGTAGAATGTCATTTTTCCTCAGACTTTTTAAATCTTTCAGGATCTTGGATCTGTCATCCATCTTATTCACTAGTCTTTGATTTTAATCTCATCTGTAACCTTCTTAAATATGCTGGCTATTGTTTTTACCAAAGTTATGGATTAAAATTGCTAAACTAGCTTAGACTGAGGATAGGGGCCTATGGCATGCCTTTAGCAACTTCCTTTTACTGTAGGTCGGATTCATTCATCAGCAATCTTTAAATTGCATCGTTGAACCAGTCAGGAATTTACTCTGATGTCACATCCTTCCTGTGTTTTAAAATTCTGTTCATGCCCTGGGCAGATGTGCTCAATGGTTAGAGTGCCAGTCAAAACTGGCGAAGTTGTGACTTCGATTCTCAGTCAGTTGCCCCTGCTTGGGGCGTGTGTAGGAGGCAACCAGTCAATATCAGTTTCTATCTGACGCTCCCTCTCTCCATTTCTTCCTCCTTCCCTCCCTCCCAATCTCTCTGAAAAACTGTGGGAAAAAATGTTCTCAGATGAGGATTAACCAAAAAATATTCTGTTCAAAGTGTATAGTAGAAGCCAAAATGTTGTGGTTACTGCATGGGCTTTGGAACTTGAACTTAAAAAGGAATGCCATTCATCTGCCTGGGGCTATTGCTGTGTACTGGTAAAGTTGCTTTAAGTACTTATAAACCATAGGGTTGATAGTCTGTCCTCAAGTCTTGCCAAAGACAAGAAATAAAGTATCTGAAATATGGTTGCAACCATACTTGGGTAAAAACTGCTGTTTGGATTTTAACCCTGCTAATCTGGCTTCAGCATTCTCTTACTTGCTTAAACAATAGGGTAGTTACAGGAGGTTGATTCCCACTGACTCGGTAGTTCAGGGGTAAAAACTATAGATAACCTTTAGAGATTAACCTTTGAGTTCTGCTTTTGTATTATCAGCAAGATAGGACCACATTCCAATGTTCCCAGCCTTTAGAATTTAGAACAAAGGAAAATTCCTGTGGTTTGATCCTTTAAAAAGACTTGCCTATACCTGGAACATTTGGGTCGGTCCTGTGGAGGTCCCGTGGAGTCCATCTGCGTGTGGTTCTCTTGCAGCCGTCCTGGCCAGTTTTTCAATAAATTATTGCCTGCTTTTTTAAAAAATCAATCATCAGCCTCCGGTGGTCTTATTTTGAACCCAGGGTTCGACCCCACAAAAGTATCAATAATAAAGTCGATCCATTTATACTTTACTTTTTCAGGCCCTGCCTCATTTTTACAAACTTTTGCTTTCTTTACATTCTTCTGGATCTCTTGATAAACTCAACCTTTAGACCAGGACTCACCCCAGTTCCTAAACCAGTCATGAAAGGGATGGTTGGAGTTTTGGCAGATTCAATGGCACCATTGAGTAGTACTTGAATATAATCACCTGACTAGCCAGTGTGTTAACTGTCATGTTGGGTATAAACCCTGGATGCCAGTTAGCTGCCATTCTTCAGAATACCCTTTTCATTGATGTTGGTAACCTATAAAGCTGGTCTCCTGTTCCTTTTCCTACTGCTGATGTCTTACCTTGGATCTCAGCACCTTCAAGGAGTAGGGCTCAAATCCCTGCCTGCTGCTTCTGAGCTCCCTTCCTGGGAAGTTTGGTCCTGACTTGGTTTATGCTGGAAATGAATGGGTCTTTAGGAGCTTGAGGCATTATTGTTAGTGAGATTCCACCCTGTGGTAATATTTACCTTGTTCCTTTTCTTTGATCAGATTTCTTATTCTCTGTGGATTCTCAAATACCTCAAAGAGAATTTTTTGCTGGTCTTAATAAATCACTTATAAAAAAATGTTTTTATTGATTTTAAAGAAAGAGAGAAAGGGAGAGGAAGACAGAGATAGAGACATCTATTCTAGAAGAACATCAATTAGCTGCCTCCTGCACACTCCCTACTGGGGACTGAGCCCAAAACCTAGGCATGTGCCCTGATCAGAAATCGAACCAGTGACCTTTTGGTGCACTGAGTCACACTGGTTGGGCCCAACATAACACTTTTTAAATGTTAGACTTAATTTATTCTAGCCATGAGATTTAAATTTATTTTCCATAGCAGCTAACTTTTTCTTTACAACCTATTCTGACACTCATTTCCCTCTCAGTAAAGACCAAAGCAAAGTAAGAATTGAGCTATTTTAACACAATGTAGTGGGAAAAAAGTTTGGAAGTTCTGGATTTGAATCCTGAGTCCCCTGAGAACTCTTACTATATTTTAGGAGCTGAGAATATGAGCTGAGGGGTAAGAAGAAACTTCTTTCAAACCCTAGTTTTTCTTCCTATTTGCAATGTTACTTAAAATAAATTTATTTACTTAATGTCCAAGGTTGAGTTTCCTCATTTGTGGCATGGGGATAACGGGATAAATGAGTCATTGTTAAGTAAAATAGGGACACCCCCCCAAAGTGACAGTTGTTAGTGCTTAATTCATAATACAAAGATAGGATCCCTACCTTCAATCTTAA